GGCAAGATAGCTCCATCTTGCCCGCTCGGGTACCCAATCACAGCGCAGGATTTGATTCATCTTGTCCGCTCGCGGAGCTTGCCATATAATAATTGGACTTCGTGTCGTACAATTCAGGGAGTAATCGTGCTCGTAATTTCAAACCGACCTCACGCTTCCGCTCACCCCATTTTGAAATTTCCTTTTGTTGTTGTTTTCGTCAGTTCGTTCCCGTACTTTGTTATCACTCGCTTTTCTATAATTCATTTTGTTCTATATTCATAACTAAGTATCAATAAACCACAAAATCATTAGGGTTACTTTTAACAAAAGACATATTCTGCTTTCAGTTTGATGCTTTTAGAAAACTTCACAACCCAGAGAAGCACTCCATGTGTGACAACTTCAGGCCCATTCAGGACCTGAACGGCCGTACAGTGTCAGAATACTCCGGATAACTGTAGTTGCAGAGTTGTAATGTACTGGAAAACTAAGAAAGAACTATTATGTAAAAGGAATGAAATGCTATTATTTTACTCACGGGGGTTATGGTATCAAGTTGTTGTGAAAGAGTAGGTTATCGTTCATCTTGTAACTGGGAACAACAATAAAGTAAATTGTTGTTTTGTTGTTGTTGTTGTTGTTGTTGTTGTTGTTGTTGTTTCACGATATAATCACCTGAATTGTAGACCTCGACTGTTCGACTGTTTAGTACTGTACAATAAAGATGTACCTTGTTAATAAACATTGTCGTCATTTCAGATCACGTGCGCCAAAAATTCACTCTGGTGGTTGGCAAATCATTTGCTTACGGTCTTATGTCCCACAAGATTTTTGATATGTGTCAGTACTCAGATTTGCTTCAAACATTACCAGTGAAGCATTCTTACATTGTCCTGTGTGAATTCCATCAAAATCCGCCTGGGCGGTTCTCAAGACAGCTCTGAAACAAAAGATTTTTTATTAATGCCCCACACTCATACACTTTCATAGATTTTCTACGGAAACTCTTATTGAAACCTTTCGATGTTTCTTAGTAAATGCCAAGTGATTCCAAAAATCATATTGGTTTTCTAGTTGACGAATTCCCCGAGCTTGAGCATACTATAAAAAATCACTACGCTCTCATGCTGAGTGTCTATTAGTGTGTCCACGCTCAGAAGATTCGTCCACTGCAAAACCGAAACCGTGATAGTTGACGAGGGCGCAGCTCGAGTCAACTATCAAGCATAGAAATCGAGAGCGAATAATCTAATTGTTTTAGTATAAATCTACCAGTCATTCAAACTTTATCTAAATCCTCTTTACAGACACTTCGAAAACGCCAAAAGCGGCCCTCATTTTTTTATCAAGGGCACACTGCTACGCTACTCACTATCTATCACAGAATAGATAGTGAGTAGCGTAGCCATCAGTGAACGGCATTCCAGATAGAACGCTAGTAGATTTATACTAATATAATATAGATGGGACCCTGCGCGCGCTCTGATTGGTCAAAAATCGATGTTTTATCAGAGTATAAAACATAGAAAAAGCGTGTTTTATTGTTTTTCTCCACATTACCTCTAGTCAACATTTTTGTTAGAGATGGCGAAAAACATTTTCTTTCAAGAAATTCCTGATGGAGTTCTCTACGAAACAGCAGAAAGTTTTGAAGACGAGGCATGTAGCACTTTAGTGGTATTAAATTGCGTCAGTTTATCGATCTGTGTGCTTTGTTGTTTCTACTCGCGGCTTGTAAAATCTGTATCATAAAGCAAATGAAGACGCCTAAAATGTGTATTACACTGTGATAAAACTCCCCGGCCATTTGAAAACACTCGAGAAATGTAGGAAACACTCGCCTGCGGTCCGGAGTGTTTTATCACAGTGTAACACACGGCTTAGGCTCCGTCATTTGCTTTGTGATATAGATTTCACACGCCATGAGTAAAAACAACAAAGCACACAGATCGACAAACTGACGCAATTTAATACCTCTAAAGTGCTACATGCCTCGCGTTTTCTACATTTCCCTCGTGTTCTCAAATACCCGTCGTCTTTTATCACGATGTAATACACGGCTTAGGCTTCTTTATTTGTTAAATAAACATAGAGTAAGTACTCTTAGGAGGTTTGAATGAGTCTTTCCGAAAAAAAGACTGTTATACTTAGCGAGTACCGTATGAGGCTGGCCATAAATTTGCGAGACCATTTTATCAATTCTTGTGACTAGATAATTCAAATTATTATTCGATGCATTTTTTCTTCCTATTCATTGGCCAAGAGCCCAAAACGTGAGCTGCAAATAAATGCCTACAAATAATGGTCTGCATATTTGTAATAACGTCTAAATGCAAATAATATTCTGCTAATACATAATTGTCACCAAGCTCGAATGAAAAATGGCAACTGGCTTCGCTAACCCGTCAGAGAGTGATTTAAATATGATATCAAACTTGGTGATCGAATGATAAAAAAGTTATTCAACTTTGCTATCGCAAAATAACGTGATTTGTCAGTGTCTCACAGATCGGCTTCGGCAAATAATGGATCTGCTCGCCACTGACAAATCACGATATTTGGCTCAACCCCGTCCAGTCATTGTTAATTATTTGCAATCAGCCAATAACAAGTCTGGTAAAGGCAAAGGGAAGGAATAAATACTACCAGTCTTTATCAAGTGATGCTACAATATTGGTATCACACAAACGCCCGGCCATTAATAAAACTGATAATGATACTCTTTACGGCATAATAGGTTACCTTAGCAACAGTATAACCCGTTAGTAACACCCTTGATCTTGGCTTCAACCGCGTAGCGGTTTCGTTGCACCATGAGATGCATTTTATAGTAGGATAAAATTATACCTTTTGCAACGCTTCCGAGACAGTTTTATTTTCAGGGGGAAGTTACAAGTCAATTAATATATACACGTCTTAAGTGAGATCTAGCCAATCTTAAGAAAAGACAACTTTCATCTTATTCAGCAAAATTTCAATGTTTTGCAATCTAGAGGGTTTAAATGGTGGTGCAGATTATGCAAAAGATGTGCAAATGATGTCCTTCTATCATCTGTAATCATTCTGGAGTAATTCCGCTGACCAGTAGATAAAGCTCTTCAAATCACTGTATAGTCAATATTCTAGGCACGTGTATCGTTTTTCATTACCAGGTCTAGCTGCAATTGTTGCGCTAAAAATGGAAAAGTTGGATAAATGGAAAATTGTATAAATGAAAAAGTTGTATAAATGGAAACTACGTATTGGGAACGTTTTAGATGACAGAGGTGAAGTTGCTAGAAGCTGCTATTGTAAATATCCGCTCCGAAATTGAGGTTTAGAAAACATTGACAAGAGGCAATCGTCTCTACATATCGAATTATAATTATAATTCCACCGAGAAGNAGACAGATCTATCCGCACAGCTGGCCGTTTTGGATATCAATCGCATTCTGACGTAGCTAATTGAAAAAAACGTGAGCAGTTTTTGGCGCATAATTGGTGGTAAAATAGCCCATTACACCCAAATCGATCAAGGTTCCATTTCCATAATCAACACAGAACTTTTTACGGCTGGCAGAAAGCTTAAGGATATGAAGAGCAACAGTTAGCAAGAGTAAAAGAGGCGAGAAAAAGGAAAGGAAAAGGCCAAGAGAAAAACATTAGACCAGACCAGTAAAAAAAAATACAATTTTTGGCTTATGCGCATCCTCAAAAGTAAGACATCGTAAATTTTGGTACCTAATCCTCAGGAAAACCTTGCTCCTCGGTAAGAAATCGCTTTTTCATCAAAGTTGAGGCCAATTCAGGGTCGTGGCAACCAAATGACCGAGTTAACGGCAAAAAAACAGCATTTTTTTTTTAGTAAATTTGACTCTTTAAGAGTTAAGAACGCCTTTTCTCGGAGGTTCCACACTCTATCTAAGACTATAACTCCGTTAACGCACATATCCATTTCCCACAGGTTTATTTACCCTCAGCGGCTTCCCTGGAATAGGAACTGTAAATTATGCAAAGTAACAGTGTTTTAATCTCTGACGAAGGTAACAGAAGGTTCCCGAACATTCAGTTTTTTGGACAAAGTGTTTGATAAGATCAATTTTATTTTTTAATCGCTTTTAATGCAATTAATAGCATAAATTGACCGAGAATATATTTTTCACCTTTAAGTTTTCTTAATTGCTTAAACCATGGTAGGTTCAAGCAGAAAACTTTTTTTCAACGAGGAAAGGAGAAAACGAAATCCGAAACTTGAAGAAATTATCACATATTGAGCAGTGCAAAGGGAATTTTAAAACTAATATTTGTCTCTCATAACTTGCCTCCTTCTAATTTCGAAACAAATGTACACCCTGGGAGTGATAACAGCAACCTTGTTGAAGGTAAACGGACACGTTATATCTATGACCCAGTGTGCTGCAGTTAGACTATATTCAGAACACAATGACGAAGGCATGGAGCAAAGTCATTTTATTTCCCACACAACTCGTTAAATTAAACCCTTTTTAAACCTTTTTCACACGATGATCCCCCTATATTTCACCGCTACATCGCAATTATAGCACCTTTGATGTAATCTCAATTAGCTGTGCGGACTAGACGTGCGGCTATCCAGAGTATTTTGAGACTTTACGGCCATTTAGCGGCTGAGGTGGCCTGAAGTTGTCACACATGGACTGCTCCTCGTGATTGTGGAGACATCTCATAACGCCCAGCTGAAAGGAGAAAGATTAGCAATAACATACAAGCTCCAGTGGCTCAATAGGAGAATCTTTGTTTACAATATTTGCCTCATTACCATAAGCGATACAGTTTCTGATGGAGCTTCAAAGAGATTAATACTGAATATTGAAAGGGCACAGCACGATTAACTGTCCCAAGGAATTTGAGCGCGATGTATTCAATACTTTTTGTGCGACGCGGATTTTAAAGCTCAAAATTTTACAAAGAATGTATGAGCTCATTAGCGCTTTTGCCACACAGAAATTTTGATGTTTTCGAAAGCCAATTTCTCTTCGAATATTACACCCAAAGAGCCAGAAATTTCACCACTTACGAAGTTTCACAAGCTCTTTAAGTTTTTCTAGTAAAATCGTGTCTAGCGTAATACCTTCTATGCGCAAAGTCGAATGTTAATGGGAAAAATGTAAACAATGACGTCAGCAAAGATTCGCCTATATGATGACCAAAGGGTATTAGGTTTATAAGTATGGGTTATTGACCAAGTGTGAGGTCAAGATGACTGGATATTGGTCAAGTTCTTTTTTTTTT